AGACGACAGGAATCAGTAGTTGTAGACTCTTGGTGAAATGACTGAAAATAGATCACAGTGGTGCAGATGTATTCGCTCTTTGGTATTTTCTAAGGCTTCAATCTTATGACTAACATTTATTTTTAGATACTCTCTCCTCCTCCTCCTCCTCTCCGATCCACTTGTGTACGAGGTTCTGTGTTGATTTTATGTGTCTATTTTATTGTTTTGTTGAAGTATGTCAATATCTACATTGTGCTCTTTAATTCAAAATAACAATGATACATATAAGTTAAACTACTTGTTGTTAATTTGTGAGAAATAGAAGAGAAAAAAGATGTAATTTTTTGTATAAATTATTCTGTACATTGGCTTTTCTTTTGTTGTTCTACAAACAAACGTCGTGAACGAATTTTTTCTCTAGCTCTTATAAAAGTTAAAATGTCTGCATCAACCACAGGATCCCCAGTGAGTGGAATTGATTGATTAACTGCTTCATCTTTAACCAAAATATTTCTATGCTGGCTTGTTACCGAATCTTCATAACATGATTTATTCAACTTCAGTTGTAGATTAGCTATTGAGAAAAAGAAAATAAAAAGAAATTGTAGTTCTACTGTAAGTGAAAGTGTTATTAAGAGTATGGTATCCCATCCCTCTGCTGATGTGCCAACAGAGGTCGAGCAAATTCGATCCTGTATAGCAACGGAAAAACACAAATATCAAAACAACAATTTATACCCTTTGTATAAGAGATGGCTATTATGCCAAAAGGCCTAGCAGATAATACTTTAGCCTTTGAAGCGATGGGTATTTGTTTCGAGTCTCAGCAAGTACATCCAGGCGACGAGTCTCAAAATAGAATGAAACATGTGTCGAAGATTCAACTCCAAGTCACCAGAATGAATACACTATCTTCAGTCTTGTATGGCTCAGAGACTTGGCGTGTTACGAAAAGCATTTCCAACAAACTACAAACATTCATCAACAACTGCCGCCTACGCTCACTCCTTACTGAAGATCAGATGGCCAGAATAATAAGAATATGCAACAAGGGACTCTGGCTGGCTGGCTGGCAACCAACCAACCAACCAACAACCTATCACCCAACAAATATGCATTAGAAGGAAGTGGAGATGGATTGGATTGGGCATACACTGAGAAGGCCGACTGGGGAAATCACACGCCGAGTCAGGCACTCGAGTGGAATTCAGATGGGAAATGACGAGTTGGGCGTCGGAGTTGAGGGTGACATGAAGGAGATGGTGTGAGGAATAAATGAGAGCTTGTGGTCAGTGTTTGAGACAGGTTGAGAAGACTGGAGAGAAGAGAGTGAAATGGAGACGTGCTACTGAATCCCTATGTCCCATTAGAAACCCAAGGGACAAATAATAATAATAATAATAACTATTCCTAGGATACCTGTATGGGATTGTGAATTTCTATGTTGGCTGTCTGAATTGCCATCATTGAAATTATACTCAATTTGATGTTAATTTCCAAATCGAGAACAGATGCTAATGTAACACTAACTGCCTGTTTCACACACTTATCCCTTCAATACTATTACTATTAACACTATGCAGAGGAAATAATTATTTCTTTTAAAAATATTGTACGGAAAGCGAATTTGTTGGAATATTCCATGCTGAAAATTTCATACTGTATAGTATATGTTGTTCGGAATAAAGCGATTATTATTATTATTATTATTATTATTATTATTATTATCCATCGAAAAGACTTCCATTTTACAACTTATGCGAGTGTTATAATTCAAAAGAACCGAAAAGTAAGATAATACGGATCACTGTTAGCCTCTTATTACTTAACTGGCAATCGACTGAATTAAACTGGTTGAGTAGAGAATTTTATCACAATCTAAATGTTTCTAATGTTCTACACTTAGTTTATCTCCTCATTCAGCGGATCGTCAGCATGAAGAAATAAATAAACGCTAGAAGATGCAGTAAAATATTCACTGAACTTTCTTATCTATAAAGCTTAATACATTCTGTTATATGTGACATTATGACATTCATAGCGTTCATTCTTTAGATGCAACCAACACATACACCTTTAATGAAAGCAAATATGCTTGCCTATGGAAATGTATGTCCTAATTCATCGAAGATACTAATGTTCAACATTACCTTTTTCTTCCTGACGATTATCTAAGTGTCTTGACGTAGGATTTCAAAATGATGTATACAGACTCTCATTAGAACCAAAGGGGATGGTAATCACTGTTGACTTTATAAAGTTGCCAACTTATCATTAGATTTGCTAACCTTTCACTCACTTTAAACGTATTTAACATTTTATGGCAATTGTCAGAAAGGCTTATCTACAGCCTCAAGGAAATTAATGTTCCCTATGAAATTCGACCGCACGTCATCCATTGTTGCAGTCAGCGACATTACTACTGAGGTGTTCGAAGCGTGACTTACCTCCTGTGGAACTAGATTAGATTCACTATTATCCGCTGACTAATCAGTCTATTCAATCCAGTCCTACAGCAAGCAGTTTGCAGCACAACACTGTTTGACGCAGGTTCGAGTCTCGGGTAGGACATCAGTTCCACTGAGGTTGTTGGTATGTCTTCCTAGTAGGTGCCAATACGCACGAAACGTAGGTAAACCAGCCTTTCATCCTCATTTCCTCTGACCAGCTAACATAGATCAAAGTGCAACTAGATAGTGAGCCTCCTAGGTTGGTAGTCACATTGCAAAATAACCGATAGAATTCAGTTAGCACTCAGGACTGAACAACATGAAATCGCTTGCTCCGAAGTGACTGATCAGTGTACATACTTGGTAGTCAAGATTTTATTTCTTGAGGGTATATCAGAAAGACTTAAATTAAATGATACTTTGTTGATATGAAGTGTTACAGTGGACACAAATGCAACAGTACACATATTGGCTGCCTTCTTACTGAATATTTAGTTATTTGTAGGTACGATTACAACTAGTTTACTTTGTTCATAAATAAACGCATACTTATTTAGGAAAGACTCATACAGTGATACAATCAAGGACCTTGGGGGATATTCCAAAGTTATTTCAAAAGTAAAGTGAATCAAGAGAACGCATTATTATTATTATTATTATTATTATTATTATTATTATTATTATTATTTGTCCCTTGGGTCCTAGCCAAACATAGGGCTTCAGTAGCACACAGATATTTCGCCCTCTTCTCTCCAGTCTTCTCAACTCGGCTCAATCAGTGCCCACAAGCTTTCACTTCTTCCTCAAACCATCGCCTCCATATCACCCTCGGATGCCCAACTTGTCACTTCCCAGTTGGCCTCTTCTCAAGGACTTGGCCTGGCCTGGCCTGGCACGTGATCTCCCAAATCGGCCTTCTCAGTGTATACACAATCCAATCAAGTCCATCTTCACTTTCTTCTTCATATTTGTTGGGCAGTCGGTTGTTGGTTGGTTGGTTTCCAGCCAGCCAGCCAGTCAGAGTTCCTCTTTGCTTATTCTTATTATTCTGGTCATCTGATTTTCAGTGTCAGTATTGACTGAGCGTAGGCGGCAGCTGTCGATGTGATGTACGTCTGGGGTTTGTTGGAAATGCTTTTCGTAACGTGCCGAGTCTCTCAACCATCACATAGAAGAACTGACTTACTTGAGATTACTGTTGAAAATCCGGATCTTGTTCACACGTTATGCTGAGTGGAGCGCAGTGTAGTGCAGTAGATCCCCACACTGATTTCACGTTAATGAAGACCTGTCTTGCAGTTTTTCCGACCCTGACTTTGACATCCTCATCTGTGCCTGTATCGCCTGTAGTTGAGAGGATGCTGCTTAGAAAGGTAGGTGGAAGAGATAACTTGCCCCTTCCGATTTCTCCCGTTGATGGTGATTGGTGCTTGTTGTTCTTGTTTTTTTTTGTGATGGCGGTTTTGCATCTCTATCACCTCTGTCTTCCCTACGTTCACCTGAAGTGCCGTCATCGCTTCCCTGCCTCTTCTTCCAACTTGTTAGTTTTTGTCTGTAGATCCTTCAGTTTGTCCGGCATCAGACGTAAGTCATCTGCGAAATGCAAATATTCTAGGGTCCTTTCATTGGTTCAGCGTATAAGCTCTGGTAAAAGACATCTAAGGTCTCCGACTGCAAGATATGCCATTTAAACATGTCACAAAATTAACATTCCTTCTCCTACTTACACCTTCTTACAAAACATGGTGCGGGTGAATTCTCAAACTTGTAGAAAACTTAACTATTAGGAAGTTTACTCCACTTTATGTGTTCAAAAATGATTTGTTGTCAAATAAGATATTCTTTGTTGAATTCATCTCTGAAACTAAGATTGATATACTATTGTTTAGTTCCGTTGATTCTCATTGTTATTCAGACATCTCTCTTTTGCTGACCTCTCATATAGATATCTATGACAAGTAAGTATGAGATCAGAGTAGTTTAAATGTGTTGAGTAAATATACTAAATAATTCACACAAATTATGTCTTCTTATTGTCTTATAGGTTGTTACTTCGACATGAACTGTCGATACCAAGCATCCCCCTGCTTTCATGTGCAACGCTTAATGAAGTTGTACTAGTTTGGAATAGGGTTCAGAGTGGTCAGACCAAGACTCGGTACTAGTCTATGAAGTATCTGACCTTTGATCTGAGTTGCGAAAGGAGTTGCAGACTATCTGACTGGGGTGCCCGAGACGACAGGAATCAGTAGTTGTAGACTCTTGGTGAAATGACTGAAAATAGATCACAGTGGTGCAGATGTATTCGCTCTTTGGTATTTTCTAAGGCTTCAATCTTATGACTAACATTTATTTTTAGATACTCTCTCCTCCTCCTCCTCCTCTCCGATCCACTTGTGTACGAGGTTCTGTGTTGATTTTATGTGTCTATTTTATTGTTTTGTTGAAGTATGTCAATATCTACATTGTGCTCTTTAATTCAAAATAACAATGATACATATAAGTTAAACTACTTGTTGTTAATTTGTGAGAAATAGAAGAGAAAAAAGATGTAATTTTTTGTATAAATTATTCTGTACATTGGCTTTTCTTTTGTTGTTCTACAAACAAACGTCGTGAACGAATTTTTTCTCTAGCTCTTATAAAAGTTAAAATGTCTGCATCAACCACAGGATCCCCAGTGAGTGGAATTGATTGATTAACTGCTTCATCTTTAACCAAAATATTTCTATGCTGGCTTGTTACCGAATCTTCATAACATGATTTATTCAACTTCAGTTGTAGATTAGCTATTGAGAAAAAGAAAATAAAAAGAAATTGTAGTTCTACTGTAAGTGAAAGTGTTATTAAGAGTATGGTATCCCATCCCTCTGCTGATGTGCCAACAGAGGTCGAGCAAATTCGATCCTGTATAGCAACGGAAAAACACAAATATCAAAACAACAATTTATACCCTTTGTATAAGAGATGGCTATTATGCCAAAAGGCCTAGCAGATAATACTTTAGCCTTTGAAGCGATGGGTATTTGTTTCGAGTCTCAGCAAGTACATCCAGGCGACGAGTCTCAAAATAGAATGAAACATGTGTCGAAGATTCAACTCCAAGTCACCAGAATGAATACACTATCTTCAGTCTTGTATGGCTCAGAGACTTGGCGTGTTACGAAAAGCATTTCCAACAAACTACAAACATTCATCAACAACTGCCGCCTACGCTCACTCCTTACTGAAGATCAGATGGCCAGAATAATAAGAATATGCAACAAGGGACTCTGGCTGGCTGGCTGGCAACCAACCAACCAACCAACAACCTATCACCCAACAAATATGCATTAGAAGGAAGTGGAGATGGATTGGATTGGGCATACACTGAGAAGGCCGACTGGGGAAATCACACGCCGAGTCAGGCACTCGAGTGGAATTCAGATGGGAAATGACGAGTTGGGCGTCGGAGTTGAGGGTGACATGAAGGAGATGGTGTGAGGAATAAATGAGAGCTTGTGGTCAGTGTTTGAGACAGGTTGAGAAGACTGGAGAGAAGAGAGTGAAATGGAGACGTGCTACTGAATCCCTATGTCCCATTAGAAACCCAAGGGACAAATAATAATAATAATAATAACTATTCCTAGGATACCTGTATGGGATTGTGAATTTCTATGTTGGCTGTCTGAATTGCCATCATTGAAATTATACTCAATTTGATGTTAATTTCCAAATCGAGAACAGATGCTAATGTAACACTAACTGCCTGTTTCACACACTTATCCCTTCAATACTATTACTATTAACACTATGCAGAGGAAATAATTATTTCTTTTAAAAATATTGTACGGAAAGCGAATTTGTTGGAATATTCCATGCTGAAAATTTCATACTGTATAGTATATGTTGTTCGGAATAAAGCGATTATTATTATTATTATTATTATTATTATTATTATTATTATCCATCGAAAAGACTTCCATTTTACAACTTATGCGAGTGTTATAATTCAAAAGAACCGAAAAGTAAGATAATACGGATCACTGTTAGCCTCTTATTACTTAACTGGCAATCGACTGAATTAAACTGGTTGAGTAGAGAATTTTATCACAATCTAAATGTTTCTAATGTTCTACACTTAGTTTATCTCCTCATTCAGCGGATCGTCAGCATGAAGAAATAAATAAACGCTAGAAGATGCAGTAAAATATTCACTGAACTTTCTTATCTATAAAGCTTAATACATTCTGTTATATGTGACATTATGACATTCATAGCGTTCATTCTTTAGATGCAACCAACACATACACCTTTAATGAAAGCAAATATGCTTGCCTATGGAAATGTATGTCCTAATTCATCGAAGATACTAATGTTCAACATTACCTTTTTCTTCCTGACGATTATCTAAGTGTCTTGACGTAGGATTTCAAAATGATGTATACAGACTCTCATTAGAACCAAAGGGGATGGTAATCACTGTTGACTTTATAAAGTTGCCAACTTATCATTAGATTTGCTAACCTTTCACTCACTTTAAACGTATTTAACATTTTATGGCAATTGTCAGAAAGGCTTATCTACAGCCTCAAGGAAATTAATGTTCCCTATGAAATTCGACCGCACGTCATCCATTGTTGCAGTCAGCGACATTACTACTGAGGTGTTCGAAGCGTGACTTACCTCCTGTGGAACTAGATTAGATTCACTATTATCCGCTGACTAATCAGTCTATTCAATCCAGTCCTACAGCAAGCAGTTTGCAGCACAACACTGTTTGACGCAGGTTCGAGTCTCGGGTAGGACATCAGTTCCACTGAGGTTGTTGGTATGTCTTCCTAGTAGGTGCCAATACGCACGAAACGTAGGTAAACCAGCCTTTCATCCTCATTTCCTCTGACCAGCTAACATAGATCAAAGTGCAACTAGATAGTGAGCCTCCTAGGTTGGTAGTCACATTGCAAAATAACCGATAGAATTCAGTTAGCACTCAGGACTGAACAACATGAAATCGCTTGCTCCGAAGTGACTGATCAGTGTACATACTTGGTAGTCAAGATTTTATTTCTTGAGGGTATATCAGAAAGACTTAAATTAAATGATACTTTGTTGATATGAAGTGTTACAGTGGACACAAATGCAACAGTACACATATTGGCTGCCTTCTTACTGAATATTTAGTTATTTGTAGGTACGATTACAACTAGTTTACTTTGTTCATAAATAAACGCATACTTATTTAGGAAAGACTCATACAGTGATACAATCAAGGACCTTGGGGGATATTCCAAAGTTATTTCAAAAGTAAAGTGAATCAAGAGAACGCATTATTATTATTATTATTATTATTATTATTATTATTATTATTATTATTTGTCCCTTGGGTCCTAGCCAAACATAGGGCTTCAGTAGCACACAGATATTTCGCCCTCTTCTCTCCAGTCTTCTCAACTCGGCTCAATCAGTGCCCACAAGCTTTCACTTCTTCCTCAAACCATCGCCTCCATATCACCCTCGGATGCCCAACTTGTCACTTCCCAGTTGGCCTCTTCTCAAGGACTTGGCCTGGCCTGGCCTGGCACGTGATCTCCCAAATCGGCCTTCTCAGTGTATACACAATCCAATCAAGTCCATCTTCACTTTCTTCTTCATATTTGTTGGGCAGTCGGTTGTTGGTTGGTTGGTTTCCAGCCAGCCAGCCAGTCAGAGTTCCTCTTTGCTTATTCTTATTATTCTGGTCATCTGATTTTCAGTGTCAGTATTGACTGAGCGTAGGCGGCAGCTGTCGATGTGATGTACGTCTGGGGTTTGTTGGAAATGCTTTTCGTAACGTGCCGAGTCTCTCAACCATCACATAGAAGAACTGACTTACTTGAGATTACTGTTGAAAATCCGGATCTTGTTCACACGTTATGCTGAGTGGAGCGCAGTGTAGTGCAGTAGATCCCCACACTGATTTCACGTTAATGAAGACCTGTCTTGCAGTTTTTCCGACCCTGACTTTGACATCCTCATCTGTGCCTGTATCGCCTGTAGTTGAGAGGATGCTGCTTAGAAAGGTAGGTGGAAGAGATAACTTGCCCCTTCCGATTTCTCCCGTTGATGGTGATTGGTGCTTGTTGTTCTTGTTTTTTTTTGTGATGGCGGTTTTGCATCTCTATCACCTCTGTCTTCCCTACGTTCACCTGAAGTGCCGTCATCGCTTCCCTGCCTCTTCTTCCAACTTGTTAGTTTTTGTCTGTAGATCCTTCAGTTTGTCCGGCATCAGACGTAAGTCATCTGCGAAATGCAAATATTCTAGGGTCCTTTCATTGGTTCAGCGTATAAGCTCTGGTAAAAGACATCTAAGGTCTCCGACTGCAAGATATGCCATTTAAACATGTCACAAAATTAACATTCCTTCTCCTACTTACACCTTCTTACAAAACATGGTGCGGGTGAATTCTCAAACTTGTAGAAAACTTAACTATTAGGAAGTTTACTCCACTTTATGTGTTCAAAAATGATTTGTTGTCAAATAAGATATTCTTTGTTGAATTCATCTCTGAAACTAAGATTGATATACTATTGTTTAGTTCCGTTGATTCTCATTGTTATTCAGACATCTCTCTTTTGCTGACCTCTCATATAGATATCTATGACAAGTAAGTATGAGATCAGAGTAGTTTAAATGTGTTGAGTAAATATACTAAATAATTCACACAAATTATGTCTTCTTATTGTCTTATAGGTTGTTACTTCGACATGAACTGTCGATACCAAGCATCCCCCTGCTTTCATGTGCAACGCTTAATGAAGTTGTACTAGTTTGGAATAGGGTTCAGAGTGGTCAGACCAAGACTCGGTACTAGTCTATGAAGTATCTGACCTTTGATCTGAGTTGCGAAAGGAGTTGCAGACTATCTGACTGGGGTGCCCGAGACGACAGGAATCAGTAGTTGTAGACTCTTGGTGAAATGACTGAAAATAGATCACAGTGGTGCAGATGTATTCGCTCTTTGGTATTTTCTAAGGCTTCAATCTTATGACTAACATTTATTTTTAGATACTCTCTCCTCCTCCTCCTCCTCTCCGATCCACTTGTGTACGAGGTTCTGTGTTGATTTTATGTGTCTATTTTATTGTTTTGTTGAAGTATGTCAATATCTACATTGTGCTCTTTAATTCAAAATAACAATGATACATATAAGTTAAACTACTTGTTGTTAATTTGTGAGAAATAGAAGAGAAAAAAGATGTAATTTTTTGTATAAATTATTCTGTACATTGGCTTTTCTTTTGTTGTTCTACAAACAAACGTCGTGAACGAATTTTTTCTCTAGCTCTTATAAAAGTTAAAATGTCTGCATCAACCACAGGATCCCCAGTGAGTGGAATTGATTGATTAACTGCTTCATCTTTAACCAAAATATTTCTATGCTGGCTTGTTACCGAATCTTCATAACATGATTTATTCAACTTCAGTTGTAGATTAGCTATTGAGAAAAAGAAAATAAAAAGAAATTGTAGTTCTACTGTAAGTGAAAGTGTTATTAAGAGTATGGTATCCCATCCCTCTGCTGATGTGCCAACAGAGGTCGAGCAAATTCGATCCTGTATAGCAACGGAAAAACACAAATATCAAAACAACAATTTATACCCTTTGTATAAGAGATGGCTATTATGCCAAAAGGCCTAGCAGATAATACTTTAGCCTTTGAAGCGATGGGTATTTGTTTCGAGTCTCAGCAAGTACATCCAGGCGACGAGTCTCAAAATAGAATGAAACATGTGTCGAAGATTCAACTCCAAGTCACCAGAATGAATACACTATCTTCAGTCTTGTATGGCTCAGAGACTTGGCGTGTTACGAAAAGCATTTCCAACAAACTACAAACATTCATCAACAACTGCCGCCTACGCTCACTCCTTACTGAAGATCAGATGGCCAGAATAATAAGAATATGCAACAAGGGACTCTGGCTGGCTGGCTGGCAACCAACCAACCAACCAACAACCTATCACCCAACAAATATGCATTAGAAGGAAGTGGAGATGGATTGGATTGGGCATACACTGAGAAGGCCGACTGGGGAAATCACACGCCGAGTCAGGCACTCGAGTGGAATTCAGATGGGAAATGACGAGTTGGGCGTCGGAGTTGAGGGTGACATGAAGGAGATGGTGTGAGGAATAAATGAGAGCTTGTGGTCAGTGTTTGAGACAGGTTGAGAAGACTGGAGAGAAGAGAGTGAAATGGAGACGTGCTACTGAATCCCTATGTCCCATTAGGAACCCAAGGGATATATAAATAGATATAATATACTCTTGTAACAGTGAATGATGAATTACTGACATGTCACATCCCTAAAGTTAACTGGAAACATTTCAAACTTCTCTAGATGATGTGAAGCAGAAACAATCACTTAACTGCTCAAAAATGTGGTAGCGATATGTGGACGACACACTTACTCTGTCAAAATCGGAACATGTTGACAATTTTCTCACACATATAAACTCAGTAGTAGGCGCATTCCAATTCAATTACGAGGTAGAAAATCAACAAGAAGAATTACCTATGTTGGATTGCAAGATAAAACAAAGGACAGACGGTGGTTTGAATAATATCGTCTACAGAAAACTAACACATTCCAAAAGTTATCTAGACTTCAAGTCATTCCATCCAATGTCAGTTAAGGCAGGCTTAGTAAAATGTCCAAGTTAGAGAGCTAGAAAACTGACTAGTCAGTGCAAGGATCTAAACAAGGAATTGAAACATGTAAAAGAAGCACTAATAGCTAATAGTTATCCTCCCCAGTCTATTAAGAAATTCAGACGAACACACGACTAACGAAAATAACAGTAACACGAGTACGAATGATAACGACAATACAAATAGAAAGCGGTTCACAGCCTCCATTGTGTTACCCTATAAGGAAGGTACATCGAAAACTTCACGTAGGACTCTCAATAAATCTGGGATTAGAATGGCATTAAGGCCTACAAATTCACTCAGAGATAAGCTTTGTCGATTGGCTTAAGGATCCGCTAGAACCAATTCTGCAAAATAATCTAATCTATCGAATTTCATCTAATGAGTGTGAACTCAAGTATGTACGTCAAACTAGCCCAGCTGATCGGGGTCAGTTAAAACAACCGAACATGGGAATTTACCTGAATATAGAATGACAGTAGTGTGGGACAAAGCCACTGTACTCAAGTTCAATATAATAAGGTGGAGAGAGAGATTGATTACTGAATCTGTGTTCATCGAATCAACACGCAACACATGTAATTGAAATGACGCGACATCTATACCCGAGATACGGAAGATTTTACTACCAATAAAAACAAATCATGTGATGTGACATAACTATGAAAATCAGAAGTGGAAAGTAGTGTGATTACATACGGATATGCATATGAGCAATGATAATTTATGCTCGAAACCTCATCAAGTAAATAATACTTTATCACTGTGTTATAAATCAAATAAACAAATCTAATATGGGATTAAATTCTACCACAGTGCCCAAGTTTTACACCTATAATATTTGATTCAGTTCAACACCAGAAGCCTGAGTAGATTGAAATATTGAACTAGTTTAGGGAAGTTTGAGTGAATCAAACCTGAAGGAGTTAAAAAAGAAAATCAAGCAAGAATCGATAAAAATATTCAACTTGTCAACAATGAACTTCAGATACTGTTTAATTTACTGTGGAGTGTTGATAGTAGGTGACAAGTGAAGATAAATTGAAAGTCTAGGTCGTGATAGGACTTGAGCAAGTGACCTCCAGATTACTGTGCCTCCACCTTACGAGCTGAGCTACGAAACATCGCCAGTGACCAGGATTATTCGGAGGTACATATACATTACTAAGTTATTCAGTAAACTAAATGAGAGTTTATCCATGAAGGCAAATCTTTCGAATAATACCTACCACACTGCTGGATGGCTATTCAAAACGTTGATTACTTTCTGAAATGATTTTTGTCAGCTTGAAGAGAAATTCATCGTTACATGAACATATTGATCTTTCTTTTCCATTTTTAATTTACTATTTCTCATTCTCATTTTGACTATCTAAGATAGCCGTGGTTTGGCAAACTAGTATTGATGTAAGGTGATTATTTGAAGTTGAAATGGAAATTTGGACCGCAGCGAGATCCTAACCAGCAACCATCGAAGTGTTATAAAAATCTGGTCAGTAGTTGGGTCTCGTAGCTCAGTTGGCAGAGCACTGGACCGGAAACCTGGTGGTCGCTGATTCGAATCCAACCGCAATCCAAATCTTCATTTCACCTTCAATTATCACTGAGTATATTTCTTATTTGATGAGTCATTCACAAAAAATTTTTTATCATCAAAGTATAAGAATATTACTACTTGCAATCAACGACAAAAGCTAAACGTAACAATATCAAAACTATACCTAGCACATATGGAGTGGTTATTGTAACTCAGTGAGCTAGTGGATAAAACTGTGCGAAAAATATCAATCACTATGAGGCAGGTATATCCATGTGACAAGTCCAAATAGGGAGAAATGTGGGTCCTAGATTCTACTACTAGGCTGCTATCCTTCATATTATCAAAGTGTAAGTATATATATATCAGGATCAGATGGAATTCCTCCAGAAGCACTTAGAGCAGAAGCAAGGACAACAGCGGACATGCTCACACCACTATTGCACAAGGTTGGAAAGAAAGGAAAGGTACCGACTGATTGGAAGAAGAAGGATTACCTTATCAAACTCACAGGCAAGGGCGACCTAAGTCTTTGCAAGAACTGGCATGAAATCACGTTCCTAGCCACCCAAAGCAAGCAAAATATTATGCCGTATCATCCTGGAGAGACTGAAGAATGAGCTGGACTCAAAACTATGACGGGAACAGGCTGCCTGGCTGGCTTCAGGAAGTACAAATCATGTGTGGATCAAATTGTAGCTGAGCATAATTTTAAAGCAGAGCACAGAATGGCAGTCAACTCAACCTTGAATTCGACCAAGAAGTAATTTGGCAGCTGCTTAAACACTACGTTATTAATGCCACAAATCTTTATCAATCTCATTCATTAACTATATGAAGACGTCACATGTCAAGTGATCCACCATGGAAAGCTCAGTGACGCCTTCGAACTGAAGATGGGAGTAGGGCACGGCTGCCACCCACTATCACGGATCATCTTTCTGAATGTGGTCAACTAGACTAGACTGAACTGGAACATGCAGCAAACAGTGAGCAGCGAGAAGAGGGGGATATGCTGGATAGGGAAGAAGATCCTAGAAGATTTGGATTTCGCCGATGACTTGTGTTCAGTGTCGTACAAACCCGAAGATCTACAGGCAAAAACTAACAAGTTGAAAGAAGAGGCAGGGCAGTGATGATGGGACTTCAATTGAACGCTGAGAAGGTAGATGTGATGAAGATACCCAACCAACGCTACCCACAACAACAACAAGAAGCTCCAACCACCATGAACGGGAGGAACTTAAAGGAGGCAGCCTATTTCACCTACCTAGACAGGGCAGCATCGTTTCAACTACAGGTGGCAAAAGCACAGATGAGGACGTCAAAGCCGGGATCGGTAAAGCAAGATAGGCGCTCATAAACATGAAACCAGTGTGGAGATCTCCTGCACTCAGCATAAAGTGTGAACAAGATCCAGATTTTCAACATCAACGTTAAGTCAGTACTTCTATATGGATGAGACTTGTGGTGTTACGAAAAGCATTTCCAACAAACTACATATATAGAACATCAACAACTGCTGCCTACGCTCACTCGGTACTGAAGCTCAGATGGCCAAAAAGGATAGGCAACAAGAAGCGCTGGCTGGCTGGCAACGAACCGACCAAGAACCTATTGCTCAACAAATATGCACTGGGAAGAAGTGGAGATGGACTGGGCATACACTGAGAAGGCCGACTGGAGACATCACGCGACAGACCAGGCCGTCGAGTGGAACCCAGATGGGAAACGACTATCTGGGCGTCTGAGGTGAGAGTGACATGGAGTAGATCGTGTTGGGAAGAAACGAAAACTTGTGGGGAGTTGTGGAGCCAGGTTGAAACGTTTGCAGAGAAGAGAGTGGAATGAGGACGTGCTACTTAAGCCGTATATTCCACTAGGAATCCAAGGGACAAATAATAAAATAAATTAGGTATATATACTTTGAATGAAAAAGAAACAACTCAGTCAGTTGGTCCTAGGATTTCATTCACAAAGACTTTGGAAGTAGTTATCAGTTGACTTAAATGGGTTAACTTGTTCAGTATCGTGAGCATACACTTTATTTAACCGCATAGTCTTGTGTTCACTCAAGTATCTTCGAGAAAGAAATTTAATTGGTAAATACAATATGAAATATATGAGGGTACAGGTTTTCAGTCAGTCTGTCATACAATGCAGCTGAATATTAGAGGAATAAAAAAGTTTTATTTAAGTAGAAGTCTACATCAGTCGAACAAACATAAGATGTCGGGAAAGTACTATTCTACTGTTACATAGCTCAATGTAAATATTCAGTAATTCGTTGTTTACTGATAAGACTAAAACGTCTAAGCAATTTTAAATCACCAACCTATAAACCATACTGGCAAGATAAAAAGCAAACCTATTTGTATACTTCAAGTTTATATCACTGAATTCAACAAGGTCAGAACTTAGGTTTCCAGTTCGCGTAGGCGAACACTTTCGCTTACATTCAGTTAGAGTCGAAATCCAATGGTTTTCATTTCCCTTTACGGGATAATGAACGGGCACTGCCTACGAGACTGACCTCGAAACCACTTTCACGCTATTGTATACTAACTATTAAATAACCATACTTAGGTTTCTCGAAGGGTTAGCTAAATAAACGTTCAAGCCACATTTATTCTCACCTTAAATCTACCTTGATAATCTTGATGTTATTTGGATAGGTATTGCTCTGGGCTAGATGGATTCTGATACATCTGGAGTTAATGAAGCTGACAGTCTGATTGACTTCTTATCTTCTGTCACAGCTAGATTCCTAAGAAGGCTAACATATGGTTGAATTTTACACTAGGTTTAGTCTTGTGCGTGTAACCAAAGGGCTGGCAGATGCTTAAGGATGAAAATAACTATCCAAAATGTTCTCAACAATCTTTGATATTATTGCTAGCGTATGTGACTGATGAAAAGAGTTATGAAAATGCAGGTACTTAGAGTTGAAGACTTGTATAGAAGAAACTGAGGATAATCTTCTATGGTAAAAGGTTTTCAGATAGGATGGTTTTAAACTTTTGCGAACGTTTTAGAGGCAGACTTCAAACTGTTCAAAACTGTAAATCAGTTTTGTTAAACAAATGACTCTTGTCTTAACTCCAAATAGAGTGCTGGTGACCAGTGGTGGTAGTTACAACTTGCAGGACTTTATTAGTTATGTACGTAACAAACTACTCGGTAAATTCAAGTGGAAACATAAAGGCAACAAACTGAACACTTAACATTTTCATATTCCAAATCAACTTGACTTTTAGAAATAAATTTCACTATTTTCTACGAAAAATATCGATGGTAAATACCAGCATCCCACATAATTGATGACTGAAATGATAATTAAGGAGGAGGCTACAGTCACTTGAAAACAGTTTGTATGTTGCGATAAGGTAAGCTTAATATTTCTCTGTGAAGAAATATCTTCTATGAATACACATACAGATCTCGCTTAATCTATGTTCACCAGATTAAAAAGTTTGAAACTACCCGAAAAAAGTATAATTAACAGAATCTTTAATGTTTATGATGGTAAGCGGTTAGCAGCGGAATACTAGATGTGTGTTTCGTCTAGCTGATGAGATCTGAATATGACTAAATGTCCGTTATGAATTTTACTGATAGCCACTTATCACCATTAGTATTAAACTGAAAATGCTGGCAATATACGGACATCCATATAGTAGCCCATATGCCAATAGTGCGGGATCAATTTGGTCAAATCAACCAGGGGAAATTTCAAGTTATAACATGAATAAAGTCTTCAATACTTACAATGATTCGAGTATTCAGAAAAAGGTTGTTCCTTTGTTGTAAGAACTGAATTTGTATCACTCATCTGAACAGAAATCAAAGTCAAACAGATTAAATAAATACCATCAAAAAATTATCATGAATGACAAAAAAGAAGTTAAATGAACCACCAGAAAAAGTAAATGGAATATCACGGCAGGCATTTTGAAATGATGAAGAATAATCTTAACTCAGGTAGACGATCTTTCTGTTACTGCATCCCTTGATGTAGTTATCTAGAAAGATAATGAAAGCTTCACAAATAAAGTACCCAAGAGAGAAATTGCAGCAACAATAAGGCTTTAAGGCATTGTTTATCAGTAGTTTTACGTTTATTGTTGCTATGCGTAAGCGTAACGTAAAATTTTCTACTTCGTCGGTAAGGCGTATCTGTAGCGTTAGTATAACTGACTTCCTACCTGATATTCGAACCCATATCATCCAGTGTTGTAGTCACCGACTTTGTCACCGAGCTATTTGGGTCATGACTGACTTCCTTTAGGACTGGGTTATATTCACTGACTGGTCACTGGAGTCCAACCAATTTCATGTTGTTGAGTCCTGAATGTAGACTGAATTCTATCGACCACAGTTACAATCATATCTTGTGCAATCAGCTCTTTTGGAGTAACCTTTTAGAGTAGATTATAGTACTGATATATGGTTCTCAAACATGCTTCTCAATTTAGCTAAAAATCTTCACCTTCATTTCCACTTGGCATCTTCTGAGAACGATATTTACACAAATCTCTAACCGAAGGAGATTGTCGCTTTTTTTCTTCACTAGTTATCTATTTAGTAAGCTATATTTGTCTGTAACTGGTCAGCAGGGGGTTAAAACCTGCAAGCTACAACGATTTCAAAATACTAACCTATTGTACAGTTGCTCTAAAACATTACAATGATATCGAATTGAATGAAAACCTACTTGTAAAGTTTGGATCGATATTCTTCATATGGTAAAATAAGGTAAAATAACTTCTCAGTCACATACTGAAGATGTGAAAAACACGACGCAACTGTTAATTTCATAAACGATACAACGAAGGTTGCAAATTGACTATTGTCGTTGTATCCAACTATGTTGAGCACCATTTTTATCAATTGCTAAAGCTTAAAGGATACTTCGTCATGAGGAAGCAACACTATTTACAGGAAATTGTGGTGAATACTTATTGCTCAGGGTCTGGGTTTTCGGACTAAGTTGTTCTCTGAGCTAGGGTTATGGCTGGCAAACGTTTCAATATCACACTGGATATCATCAGTGCATCGGGTCTTAAAATCGGAAGCAAACAGCGACATCATATTGTGAGCAGTGATGTCAAGATCGATCGTACAATTTTATAAATAATATAGAAACTGTATTGATCTTGCAAAGAAATCCAAGATGCGCATATTTTCCTATTTGAGAGTTGTTGGTGATACTTAACTACTCATATTTTTCAGTTGAATACAATCATTCGTTTACTCAATAAAGATATGACATACCTTCATGCTATCTATTTTGCTAGAATGACATGAAATGGTGGATACATTAGGCAGACGAATTGATGTGTTGACTTCACTTTCTTCAGTGCTCATTTGGTTCCACCAAGATTCAAAATCTTGAACTAAGCGCATTTTAACCAGTTCCAATGAATGCTGTAAATGTTCTACACGTGATTTAAGTTCTTTCAATGAATTATAAGAATCTCGATATTCAGTTCTTTTTACATCCAGTTCATTGCGTAATTTAATTAAGAATTCTTGTGTTTCAGTGTCATTATTGTTGCTCTGTATTACTGTATTGATTTGAACTCGAATGTTGCCTAATATTGTAGAAAATATTACATGAGCTGATAAGGAACAATTTTATGTATCTCATTTCAAACTATAAAAAAAATGACATTCAACAACATAACTTTTAGTTCAGTAATGACTGGAATCCATGATGAGCATTTCATCCTATTCGTAATACAAGCAATAATATGAATAACATTTAGTTCTTTGACAAAACATTCCTAGTTGACTGACTTCACATTGGTAATGATATCAGTTGATGTGAAGTTCAATTCAATTAACGATAAGTTATGTTGACAAACAACCTCTTTTCTCAGTTTTGTTACCCTCTTTGTTTCTATTCGAAATTGTATCTTTTCCCTTCGCAATTCTTCACTTGTAAGGTGTAATCTCTTTACGTGTTATCCGACGCCACCCCATCTGTACTACTGATATATATATGTATACTTGTAAGTAATATTCATCACAATATCACCAAATTGCGAGGAAATCGCTAACAAGAAGGCTAAAGCAATGAATACAATGGTAAAAGTAGGAGTAAAAACATGAAGGAAGAGGTTTACAAAATAATGTGATATACTGGAGAGGAATGCTGGGCAGTAATGAGGTTATCATTGTTTAGGGGAAAAAATAATATCAAGTTGTAGCTGGTTTTAGGCTATCACACTTATATCATGCAACCTGGTTTATTATTGGAGTGTTTGGTGATAATGATAATAACAGCCTTGTTCCAAACAACACGTGAGGTACAGTGAAGAGTTCTTAGCATGTAACAGTCTAAAACATTCATTCCCTGTACAATATCTTCAAGTGAAATAATCATTTCATTTGAATAATGTTAATAATAAGTGATAAAAGCCATAATGTGAAACAGGGATCTGGTATTATAATAGCGTCCGGCTTGAACTGGTTAATGAATAGTATTACTATTTATTATATTATTAGTCCCTTGGGTTCCTAGTGGAACATAGGGCTTCAGTAGCACGCCTCCAGTGACCTCTGTTCTCTGAGATCTTTTGAACCTGGTTCCACGACAGCCTACAAGCTCTCATTTCTTCCTCGCACGATCTCCTCCATGTCACCCTCGGACGTCCAACTCGTCGCTTTCCATGGGGATTCCACTGGAGTGACTGGCCTGACGCGTGATGTCCCCAGTCGGCCTTCTCAGTGCATGCCCACTCCAATCCATCTCCACTTCCTCCTGCATATTTGTTGGGTGATAGCTTCTTGGTTGGTTCGTTGCCAGTCAGAGCTCCTTGTTGCATATTCTTTCTGGCCATCTGATCTTCAGTAGCGAGCCAGAGCGGGTGGCAGTTGTTGATGAATGTCTGTAGTTTATTGAAAATCCCTTTCGTAACGTGCCAAGTCTCTGAACCATACAGAAGCACTGACTTGACGTTGGTGTTGAAAATCCGGATATTGTTCCACATGCTGAGTTCAGTGCAAACGATCTCCACACTGGTTTCAGGCTAATGAACGCCTACATTGCTTTCCCGATTCTGACCTTGACATCCTCGTCTGTCCCGCCTGTAGTTGAAACAGTGCTTCCTAGATAGGTGAAGGAGGTTACTTCCTTTAAGTTTCTCACGTTGATGGTGATTGGAGCTTGTTGTTGTTGTTGGTGCGGTATCTTCATCACCTCTGTCATCTCTACATTCACTTGAAGTCCTGTCTTCGCTGCCCTGCCTCTTCTGTCAACTTGTTAGTTTTCGCTTGTAGATCTTCAAGTTTGTGTGACATCAGGCATAAGTCATCTGCGAAATCCAAGTCTTCTAGGTTCTTTTCCGCAGTCCAGTGAATAGTATATGAGCATAATTTTGATGATGGTAATCAACCAAGCCAATACTAAAATCTAAAGTTCAACATAGTTATCGAAGGAATGAATGGTAATATACTGTAATTCTGTGCGTTTATAAGCTCATCTCTTACCAGTGTATCGTTTTTTTTCTTTATTTTGTTGTTAGCTAGAAAAAAAGGTAATGTGAAACCATTTTAGAAGTGTGCGACAGTACATGGCCCGTTTAAAAGACATAATTGAGAAATTAAAACAAATTGACAACAAGAAATTTGATGTAATATATTCGATGGAAAATTTTCAGTAGCCCAAAGTTTAAGCACGTCACCTATATATCAAAACACTAGTACTGATTTAGCTCGAACCCATGACGATAAAAGCTAAAATAACAATAGACTCCTTACCTTAAAAAAATATAAGGAAAGAATGAATATTTTGTTAGGTGTACTATATCTTTCACGAGTATATTTGTCATGAACCAAAAAAAGTTTAGCGAAGAGTCGATCTTTTCGGTGATATTATTCTCAACCTGGACAATCGCATATAAATATTCTATTCACATAGTAACAGGAAAGGAATGTTTCATGAAATATTTTGAACGAAGTGTACATTTGATTATGAATCAAGAGATCAGAAAAAAAGAATTATGTAATGACTGAAATAGTAATGAGAAGAACACTTATCAAGACGGAACTAACACTTAGTTACCAAGTTAAGTGATGCAACTTATTTGACGTAAAGAGAAATCAGAATAAGAATAATTGAGCAATGTAATGTGTGGCAAGATCTGAATGCATTTATCGAGTGATCATAGTCGATCAAATGTTCTAAAATAGACCTATGAAGTTTCCTCCTTTCTCCTTTGTGGAATATATGTTTGGGAATGCGTTTAGAAAGTGAACTCTAAGTACGGCCAATATATTTTAGCCCAAAGGGGCAGGTGAATTGATAAACACACATCGAGATGACCAATGCAACTAGTTTATCTTTTACGCATAATTGAAGCATTGGGTGGTTCGATGCTAGGATGTATGATTCCTGGGATCAATTTCCCTGATAAGTAGTGCAGTTCCAAGAAAATCCATTATCTCTCAAAATCTGAAGGATAAAAGTTCAACCTTTTTAGGAAACAGCAATTGAATTAACTGCCAAGAAACTTACAATTTATTTAAAGTTATTTAAACACCAGAATACATCAAAACATCTTAAATTGTTGATAACTGAACCAACAATTGAAAAATTGAAATCTTTCCATACTTCCAATTAAATCGTAAAATACAAAAGGTTTCAAGCTTTTTATTCCTTTAAATTTTTCAATATTCGCTTTGACAGATACTTTTGAAAAGTAAAGTTCAATGGTTGAATGATAGAAAAAACTCAAGTCATACAGACCTATGAAGATATTATCAAAGCTGTTTCTTTATTTCATCAATGTCCTAGTTTACTCTGGAATCTGTAATGTTACTAACAATTATGAAATGAGATTTCCAGATTTGTATGAAAAGAAATAGTTTCACTTGATTATCATTATGTTTGTATGTTTCTTCACATTTGAACAGAAATAGACCAGTTACTTAGTATTTCTTAAAGTCATACTTCACCTACTAATACTTTAAGTATTTTACCAAAAAAGGTAGATTTAAAATATTGCTATAATTATGTTTGTCACAAATTCTTTAGTATAGTATATTCATTAAAAATTTACTGTTTATATCCTTCTTATGAAATACTGAGACTAATAATTGAAAATCTTTCTCGATGTTTATGTATCAGTGTCTCGTTACTTACCAGCCTCTTCTTTTGCCTTGAACATATTCAATCCTTGCATTTTTGCCTGTGTATAAAGTGACTTTAATTCTTCTTTTTGTTTACTTATCTGACCTTGAAGGGGATAATCACGTTTAAATAGATTGAATGCTTCTTCTCGACCCATAGATAATTGACCAACTAAATAAAAAGTTAGATTTATCAAAATGTTATAGGTTTTAAAATCTCAAATGAAAAGCATTAATTAGGTAAATAATCAGATAACTTACTGTCTATCACCAAAACATTCACATAATAATGATGGATTGTGGGTAGCAGTAGAGTTCAGGATGCGCGTTTTCTCCTATTTTAGACTCACCAGCTCGATGTACATGCTTGTCAATGAATGATCTCGTTACCACTGAAACTCAAACTCTCCACCTATCACTAACAACATCTTAGCATTATTTCCCAGGCTACTAGGTCACATCTAATGTCACACAAATTTGAAGATCTACAGGCAAAAACTAACAAGTTAACAGAAGAGGCAGGCAGCGAAGACACGACTGACTACAAATGAACGTAGAGAAGAAAGAGGTGATGAAGATACCCAACCAATGCTACCGACAACAACAACAAGCTCCAATCACCATCAACGTGAGAAACTTGAAAGAAGCAGCCTCTTTCACCCACCATCTAGGCAGCACTGTTTCAACTACAGGTGCCACAGGCACAGACGAAAATGTCAAAGTCAGGATCGGAAAGACAGCAAGAAAGGCCTTCATTAATCTGAAACCATGGTGGAGATCTACTGCACTCAGCATGTGGAACAATATCCTCATTTTCAACACCAACATCAAGTCAGTGCTTCCATGTGTTGGTTGAGAGACTTGGCGTGTTACGAAAGGCATTTCCAACAAACTACAAACAACATTCATCAACAACTCCCGCCTACGCTCACTCCCTACTGAAGATCAGATGGCCAGAATAATGACAATAAGCAACAAGGAACTCTGGCTGGCTGGCTGGCTGGCTGGCTGGCAACCAACCAACCAACAACCTATCATTCAACAAATATGCACTGGAAGGAAGTGGAGATGGATTGGATTGGGCATACACTGAGAAGGCCATTCGGAACATCATGCCTCAAGATAGGCCAGGCCATCGTATGGAAGCCAGATGGGAAACGACGAGTTGGGCGTCGGAGTTGAGGGTGACATGGAGGAGATCGTGTGAGGAAGAAATGAGAGCTTGTGGGCTGTCGTGGACCCAGGTTCAAAAAATTTCAGAGAACAGAGTGCACTGGAGACGTGCTTCTGAATCCCTATGTTCCATTAGGAACCCAAGGGACAAATAATAATGATAATAAGTCGCGATATGCAACACTTATGCATAGTTCGATGTTGTAGTTTGTATATTAATATTGATAACTTAACAGAACCAGTCGACTATAATTAGCTGAGAGCTTCTACGTGGAAACTTTGATATCGCCGATAATTCAAGTTAACACTACATAATAAAGTAATTATTGATGGTATGCATATCTCATATTTCACATGATAAAAGCAACCGCTTGGGTTTTTTGTAAGTTTAAAGTCGAATTCAGACTCGCAGAGGAAGTTCATGCATTAAAACTAACTAAACAAATAACAATTAAAATGTGAAAGTAAACAAAAACACAAATATTTGCTTACTTACTTACAACCACTGGAAACGGGTTTTATGTGTTCAAAAAGAAGTGGGTATCAGAGGTTACAGTCGAAGATAACTACTAACTACTTCAAAATAATACAAATGTCTTTTGTTACTTTGATTTTCTCAAACCCTCTTTTGGATAAGTTAAACAACAACAACTTATAAGCGCATCTCAGTAACCTAGTACCTTTGACCAGCTAATGAAAAGTCGATTTATTAATCCGAAGATGCATAGTCCGAATCCCATCTAAAAATCACTGACGTATGTATATACTGATCTGTAAACCATTGCTGGTAAGCGCCATGTTGATTTGAAATTCAAGGATATTTAGAACACAATGTCCAAATTTCACTTCATGTATAAAACTACCCTTTTTAAACAGTCTAGCAATATACCACCTTGTGGGACACGATAATCGCATCTTATTATGTGCTTTTACCACCTGACTGCATAAGGAGTTTCTGTAACTGGTTGTTCTAGAGTGCAGGAATGATATAAACGCAAGAACAAACTTCGTGACATATTTTCTGGCTTTAGGCAATCAAAAAGAAGCTCTAGCTGATCAAGGTTTCGCCCTGTTTGGGAACCGTCAGCAGAGCGTACCTGCAGTCTCGAGGGAATTGATGTCTTCTGAGAGATTTGAGCCCGTATCACCCAGAATTGCAGTCAACGACATTACCACTGAGCTATTCAGGTCACGAATAGCCTGCTGTAGGACTGGAGAGCAACCAATCTCATGTTGTCTAGTCTAGGGTGTAGACTGAATTCGATCGATCATTTTGCGATGTGATCGCAAAGCTAGGCGGCTCACCATCACGGTGTACTTTGATAGATGTTAATTGGTTTGAGGTAGTCGGTGACGCAGGTTTGAATTTTGCAGCGAACACAAGTTCTTTCGAGGTTAAAGATACAATAAGCACGAAACCTAGGTACAATATGGCTTCTTGTCGAGTGCCTCCATTCAACTAACATCTATCAGTATGCACTGTGATGCTAAACCTCCTACTTTCATGGCCACCTAGAAAAAGTGGTGAATAAAATTCGCTCAGCACTGAGGACAAGACAATATGAAATTATTTCCTGTCCAGTAACCAGTCAATATGTCACTTTTTCATGGTTAAAATTCTGTTATTTTTATTTTTTTACTTGTTACCTACTGCTTACAAAATATTTTAAGTAGTCTGTATATAGTATATAGTAAGGTATAGAAAGAAAGAAATAGTCACTGCATAGTCAAAATTAGGGTAAAATAAGATCTTAATGGACAAACACAATGCCGAACTGCTGTTAACGGTGAATGTTATACGCAATGTTGTTCAAACACTGAGACCGTATTGAATTTCCTTCATCAACTTAGAATAGTCGTGCCATACTACTCGTTGCTCATATGTATATTCAAGAATTGGTAGTGAAACGATCAAAAGTATTGTGTTAACTTAAGTCAACTTTATTATGCAGACTCTGTCGAAAGTTTATTTAATTATAGTGTTTATTTTGTGAACTCTGCGTCAAATTGATTGGATTTGTGCTAATAAACTTTGTAATTCTATCCACCGTTTTTTCCCACCTTGTAATCTTGGTCAGCAGAGTTCATTAGCGGTATTTCTAAACTTCGTATTCTCAGTAAATCTTCAGTATCTTCTAGGAACATTCATAGGTACTATACCAGAAAACTTTTAGAATTTACTCAACAAACTATTGTGTACGTACTACTTGATTACATATGTTCATTATAAGCCATTTATTTAGAAATATATGAAAAGAAAATCTAATGTTCTAATGTTCTATTTCAAGAATTTAGTACAAGTACTTGAAAACTGTATTCACATGTGTACATACTGATATTTTAAATGGAAGAAAGGAAGAATGATATTGTGACATTGGGGTAGATGGGAGAAAAGTTGTATTTTTTAACAAGTAAAATTTGAACTACATTTTGGAATGTATTCACTTGAAAGACACTTTTAAATGTTTTTATCATCCAAACAAAATAGATTCTGAATCCTTTTCCTGATGTTTTGTTTATCTCATTTAATTAATAAGATGGAACATAGAATGAATTTAGAAATACCCGTTGATTTTCATTCAGACCCTCAATATCGTGATATTAAGTTACCTTTCAAAGGGTATTTGGATGTAGAAGTTAGTTGGTTGGAGGTAATCGGCAGGAAGTCCATAAACCGAGGTTTTGGGCTTGTTGACACTCGTACCACCTGGGGTTCGAACCCATGTTATCCAGATTTGTAGTCAGCGACTTTACCACTGAGCTATTCAGGTCATAATTAACCTCCTATAGAACTGGGTTACATGTATTGATTGGTCACTGCAGTGAAACCAACTTCATGTTGTCTAGGTACAGGGCTTCCTGTCGATTGCCTCCAACTACTAATGTGCACCGCAATGCTGAGCCTCCCAGATTGGTAGCCACATTGTGAATATAATCGATAGGATTTGGTTTGCCCTCAGGACTAGACAACATGAAATTGGTTGTACTCCAGTGATCAACCAATACAGTATTTGGATGTACACTGGGAAAGAATTCCGCTATAGGTTCACCTCATCATCGACATTTACTTGATAACAATCTCACAGATAAATTGGTAAAGCACTGAGATGATAATCTGAAGGCTGCTGGTTCGAGGCATCTTGGAAACCAGATCTTTGTTTCATCTTCATTCATCACCCAGTATCAATACTACCCAAAAGCCTACAAGTCAACTCAACCCATTGTTAGTTGTCTGACGAACATTAATCGAATCTATACTGGTAAAGGAACACTTATCTCTTCTTTTCCCTCTTTGAATTTCACTAGATGAGTTATGAAGGGATGAAACAGGGGTTATTTGCATACTTTTTATGTTGTTTATTGAAATGAAACATTTACAGTATAATTCTGTGAATGTTCATCTGCATAACAAAACTTAAAACTCATTACAATTGAAACATTTATCTTGAATAACTGGAGGCAATCGAAGTGAAACTGACCACTAACATTCCTTTGATCCATATTATGTGATACTAAGACAAGAATTCCCACCGACAATGTCTTCAAACTTTTCCAGTTAATTGTATAATGTAGAATCATAAAGTTTGGAACTATTTTACCTCACAAAGACCTAAAGATGATAATTCATATAGCAGATTCATATTCCTTACTTGTTATGGGAAATATTTAGAAATTAGCATGAATTCATACTACTTCCATATTAGATTTGTTTATTTGATATATAGCGCACAGTGATACAGTATTATATACTTGATTACGTTTCGAGCATAGATCATCATTGCTCATAATCATATCAATGTAATCACACTCCACTTTCGATATCTGATTTTATAGTCCTGTCACCTGATCTCTCTTTGTTTTTTGATGGGTAGTAAAGTTTTCCATATCTCTGGTATAGGTGTTGCGTCTTTCCCATTACATGTGTTGGGTGTGGACTCGATGAACAAAGATTCAGTAATTAATCTCCCTCTCCACCTAGCTATAT